GCTGAATTACTGTGTTCAATGGAGAAAAGGAGAATTACTGCTTTTTTCCATTGACTTTTTAAAGTCTGAGTTGCACCTAAGCTGGCCTGAGGAGGTTCAGCCGCCATTAGGCGCTGCTACTATACTGGTTCATGCTAACTGAAGATGTTTTTCACCATGTTCATGTAAAAAGATATTGAGAACATGCAGGTATTTGCAGTATCTCTCAGCTACTGTCTTTCTCATAGTGGTTCTGCTTCAAATGGCAGCTCAGTTGATTGGAGAACTCTTCACATGAAACATTCATGTGAAATGGTCAATTCAGTCTAGCAGATCTTGATCGCAAAGACACGTATTGGCAGACAAACTTAGTTTTTGTCAGGACTACTACTTTGCTAGGAGCTCTTATTATGTTTTGGTGGGTCCCTCTGACACCTTAGTATCAGTGTGCCTTCAGGAGTTTATCAAGCAATAAGATGCTGGACCTCGACATACTTACAGCCACTGTGCCTGGTGATTACAAATAGCAAGGCTGCTACTTTCCTCAAAGCGGGACAGACTCTTACAAAGCTCTGCTAATTAATTTGCTGTTTTTGTTTCTAAATATTTCATTTGAGGGTATTATACTTGAACTGGTTTTCAGGACAATTGAAGAACCATTGTGTCTGCATGCACTAGCATGCTCTGTGGGTTACAGCAACATGACTTCACATTCAGCTTGTCAGTGTTGCGTCTACCAAAGCTGCTGCTATTGGCTTTAAAGAAGGGGAGGATTCTTCCTATGTATATTTGCCTGCTTCTTTGAGGAAGAGAGTCAAGAAAACTCAAATATTTTTAGGCTGAACGCTGTACAACTGAGAAAAGAACAAAAAATTGAGAGGCTAATGTTCCTCTTCCCATCCTCCCCTCCAGTTCTATCATTACCCAAGCTAAAATGCTGGCTTCCTGAAAACTCAAATGCAAAATGGGAAAGTGCAAACAATTTTTTTTTTCCATCTTGCTCCAGATATCCTGCAGCGTAGAAAATTTGGAAAGTAGTCTGCAACGAAAAGCAACAATGATCCCATACAAGGTAAACGACCTTGTTCCTGGTCAGAGAACCTGGCTTGTCAAATGCAAGGGAGCTATCTGACTGAAACCCTTGAATATCTTTGCCCAAAGCTAAACATTATTTGCACACTGCAAAAGTGCCGATACACATGAAAAAGGAGGTAGGCTGACAATATTTTAAGTGTCTTGCAAATGGGGTATATACCAGGTTAGCCAAAGATTGTGTTTAAAGCGCTGGTCCTGTTCTTACCAGGTTAGAAAGAAACGGATAAGATTAGAAAGGAGGTGCACAGATCCAGGAGAGAAGTTTTCAAAACAATAGCTGCAAACTTTATTAATCTTATAAACGTGGGTTGTGGGAGGAAGGGAGAAGAACCGTTATCATGAACAACATCCCTTCTGGGATTTCAGTTGGATGCCTGAACCAAATTCTAGGATCGCTGTAGTTGCAGCAGCAGCTAATACTCTAACATTGAAGGCTGCAAGGAACAATTAAAAGGATAAAAGAGCATTTGCCTCTGCTTTCATTCCAGCTGCCTGAGGGGCAGGAGGAGAGGAGGAAAGAAATCTGAAGTCCCTGAAAACTTTTAAGGATGATACTACACCATCTAAACAATGGATTAGCTATGGATTAGCTATCCTTTCTTTGGAGAACAGATTTTATTTCTAAGCTGTGGGATATGTCAGTGGCTGGCCTGTTTACTTCGGGAATCTTGAAGATGATTCTGCCTTAAGTCTTTCTGTTTCTAGTTATATTTTGACATGTTAACTTATTAAGTATGACCCTTAATTAAGTGTTCCCCGGGTAGAGGGAGAATCATACCATGCTTCTGGTACGATGTTGCAATAAGCATTAGAACTCCAGACAAATAACTCTTGTAATTATTTTGTTTGTCACCACACATGGATTCTTTCCATGGAATTTCACTTGGGATGTAGCAGCTTCCATGAATGCATGAGAGCTTTCTCCTGAAAATACCTCCTAAGTGACTTGTCTCTTTCCAAGGATGTTATGTAAGTGGTTTCTGACACTGTCTATTAGACTTCAAATTTGAAGGGTGCTTGATGCCCTTGTGTTTCTTCTTAATGTTCCATGTTGTTATAAGCAATTAGCTACAGAGCAACATAAAAACAGTGGTCCTGCATGTCCAGTTTCTCTCTGTGCTAAATTACAAATGAGTTACACCTCAGAATGTTCTTTGAGGGGCATGACCTTTTCCTTTTTCAACTGTTTGGCGTTGTGCAGACTGTTGATATGCTGTAGGATAGGCCACAGAAAGCTTTATGGCACTACAATAACTGAGGCAAAATTAATTTGCTGTATGGCCAAACAATTTAGGAGAAAGGAAGCAGAGTAACAGGAAAGCAAGATAATGAAGGGTATCTTCCATTAGGTTAGTTTGTAGTTTGGCTGCAAAATAAGATGTATGTGCATCTACCACAGAAATATAAAGGTATCTTTCTTTTAGAAGTAAGAAAATGGAAGAAGGGACCTCTCCAAAGACTCTGGCAATGAGTTCATAAGTCTTAGGAATTACAAGTATCAAATTCACAAGGATTAGGATTTCTTTGCATCAAGTTTATAATAGTTCAAATTGTTCATCGTGCCTTACTTCCTTTATATTACCTGTGCTGCATTATTCTTTCTTTACACTGTGTTATCTAGCTAAGGTTACTTCCCAAATGCTTTTTCTGTTTATTTGTTTTTTCCCTCTCTAATGTGTTAATTCTGACTGTATTGCTCTACTGAGGTATGTCTGCCAAATTTTTTTTGGTTCCCAACGATTCATCTGACTGATTCAGTTGGAACCAGTGCTAAAACTATCAAAGCATTTTTATTAAAAGAATTTCCCAATGAAAACCCAATCCAGCTGTCCCTATGATGCTTGTATTTCTTTCCATATTTTTTACAATTATATTTTTTAAATAGCAACTGAAGTATGCAGAGCTAGTTGAAAATACAAAACAAAAGTGATGTTTCCCTAATAACTTTAGGAAATAAAATGCATCACAATTGTGTATGTGAAATAATTAAGACTCTAATGAACTAGCAACCCTGCAAAATCATAGTAGCAACTGGGAACACAGTGATGGAACTTATCGCTAAGACTTTTCCACAGGTCATATGCTGGCCTGCTGCAAGCAACTTTTGCTTTATATTAAAAAGGGAAGGGGGGAAAAAAAAGGAAAGGAAAACAACCTCTATATTGGAGGCCTGTTCAGTGGCTGGCAGTAAGTTTAAGAAGTCTTTAAAGGTCCTAGTTGGGTTAATTGCTATGTATTTTATGTATCTAAAATAGACAATATGCTCATGTATGTGCCATATGTAATGTCACTCTGCAGTGAAACTAAACGTGAAACTCATCCACTTTCACATTTCCTTATGAACTCTGTGCCCTCTCAGGAAGAGGGAAGGGTTTATGGAGCTTTCAGGCAAATGTGTTTGTTTTTTGCTTGCTGTTTTTTAAAGATTTCACAAGGAAACTAAGTAATATTCCCTTTTCTGCTTATTTCATCCTGTCATTTCAACTGTGTTTTGTTTCAATACTCTGAACTAATTCCAATTTGAAACACCAGGTAAAATGTGTGTGTATTCATGTTCAGACTCCATTCCAAACTGGATTCTATTACAGTCCATTTTTTCAGGACTGTGGCCAAAGAGACAACTGATCTTCGCAATTCTTGCAGGACCTTACTTGGTATGTCTATTTGTAATTATATGAACTAATAACCTCATCTTGTGTAGGTATCAAAGCTACTTTTTCTCCTATTCGTGGAATATCATCTACTGCTGTTCAGCCCAGCTGTGGTGGATCAGCTCCCCTGAATAATAACACTATTGAAACTGTTCTCATTAATCTGGGCTAAAGGCTCTCAGACCAGTCATTTAGGTTTTCTCTGGGTGACTGTGGCTTCTGCATGTGATGTTTTGTCTGAGTTGAGCACACAAATGAGCTTCTCAGACATTGTTTTAGAGCGTGACTGCCACCCATCAGTTCAGTTAAGCCACACTGAATGTTCTACCTCTTGGCAATGAAGTTGGTTGCTCTGTGAACAAAAACGTTCCTGGGCTGATTCTCCCTCCCCTCAACTGCACCTTTAGTATATATGCCAAGAAAACAATACTTGAAAACAGCAAAGAAAATGACCTTGGCAGGTGTTTCTGTTGTTTAGCAGCGGGGAAGTTGAAGAAAGAAGCCCACTAGGCATGGGGAAGGTTGGTGATTTTACTGTACAGGATAGACACTACCTACTGAGATATTTAGAGCAAAGATAATTTCATGCTTGGTAGTGACTTTCTGAAAATAAATCAATGGGTCAATGTGAATCATAATACAGAGGCTAAAAACGTCTTGATAAGAGTGGTTTTGGAGGATGCGCATAAAGGCATGCTACTCTGTCTCTGGAAATGGGCTGACAAACTGTTTTCCCTTAATTTGCTCAATGGAACCTGCATTGAGGAGTATAAAGCTATTGAGCCGTTTCATGCTATCTGACAGCTGTTTGTGTGTGTGTGTGGAGGGGGACTTGGAGGCATTTCTTTATGCCTGGGTACTAGGATTGTTATGGTCTGTGAGTCTAAGACTAGGTCAGCAATGACTTGTTCTGTCAGTGTAGTTGTTGCATGGCATGACTTCACGCTCCCAGGTTGCTGCCAGTTAGGCAGCATACCCCGGTGTATGTGCAGGTATGGCAATGAACTGTTATGTGCAAGTATGGTAAATTCACTGTGTCAGCTGGTCGTTTTGGAGATGACTTAGCAATACCAGCAAGAAAATACCTTTTGCTAGTGTATGCTGCATCCTCAGCCTAAGGGTTTGTTGGCATAGGTACATTCTGAAATCAGGTATCTTCATGACAGAAGACTACAACATACTATATGCGCTCATATTATGTACTAAATACAAAACTAAGAGTTATGTTGAAACTCACAGTGCTCCACTCTTGCCATTCACTGGTGATCGACATACCTCTAGCGTGATATGATGTCTTTCGTCTTTTTTCTGTCTGATACATTCAATTTGAATCATTGAGACCTCAACTTCCTTGCAACTGCAGATAAGACAAAATGGAACAACTCTGTAACATAAATGCCTGCTCTTAACAGCACTTGTCAGGTTTATGCTCAATAAAGCTGAATTTATCCCCCCCAGTGGCCATTTTATGATCCAGAAAGGAAAAAATACCAACAGCACCTGAAGCTAATTTCTAACTCCTTATAGTCAATGGCTGACTAATTAACTTTAAAAAAAAAAAAAAAATCCTGGTACAGGTGACCAGGCAGTTGTAATTAATGTTACAACATCTGTTACACCAAAATGGAGAGATTGGCTTCTGTGTTTTGTCCAGCACTAGCATCTTTCCTACTTTGCTTTATCTGAATGAGATACAGGTAACTGCATTTCTTGTTGGAATACTAATGGATGAAGTTTATAAATGGAAGTAATTTAATTATACCTACCTCAAGGACTTAAAAAAAACACGTAAATGCATTGCAAATTATGCTGCATTATTCCTGTTTTGTGAAGCTAAATGTAATCTTATAAGGTGCTAATGAGGCATTCTTTCAAGTCTGATCTAATCTTTACTGTTCTCACTAGCCCCATATTTTAAGTGTGTAAAAAAAAAAAAAAAAAAAAAAAAAACCTCTAACTTTTCTTTTCTAAGGAGGAAATACTTATGCCATTGTAAAGTGAAAATTAATTTTGAAATACAGCTGTTGGAAAAGGTCAGAGACAGGGAAAGCGATTGTGATGTTTTGATCTTATATTTATTCACATTGGCCGCAATGCAAGAAAGAACTGTAGTCTAGAAAAATATTTAAGTGTGCTTGGTTACACATCTGGGAGCTTTGGGGTAGAATCCTAGTTAACAGAATAGTTAAATTTTGCTATTGCTCTTAAAACTGAAGCCATGGGCCTAGGTAACTTAATTCACCTCTGCAATGTATATTTTTAAGTCGTTAGAATTCTTATTGATTTACATAGATTTAGACAATCATTTTTTGACAATTTTTTAATGAAACTGACAGTGTCCAGGCTGTCAATCTAGGCTTAAAACTTGTGCCTGTTTTTATTCCCAAAGTTATTCTTCCAACCATATTGTTTGATTCTCCCTTTCTTTTGCTTTTCTTGTCAAAGTGGGGGCAATGTCTAACTTACTGCTGCTGTCACTCATGTATTGAATTGCATCATGCAGCAGTGCGCATATATAGGTATAAATATGTGGTGGTGGGGTAAATTACCTTTGTTACATTTTTTAAAAGCCGTTTGATATCTACAACATGACTCTGTAAATATTAATCACAAAATGGCAATATTGTGCACAACGAGTAAGGACACTGGAAAGTAGACAAAGGGAATCTTTTACATGGCTAGTCTCGATTTCAGTCTTCCCAAGATGTCTGCCTATGGACAGGAGATTTCAGCTGTTGCAGACAAGATACTGGGCTAGCATGCAATTGATGCGAAACAATAATCACACTTTTATGATCATCTGTTCACTGTCATGTTCAAACTAAGCTTCTGGACATACTTTTTTTTAATTTCCTGCCATTGGCACCAATACAAGATTTTTTTCTAACACCGTCTACACACCTATTAATGCATCTATATCTATATATCTATTAACGTTTCTGGAAGAATATTAGGAAACAGAGGTTGTTTGGTTAGCAGAGGTATTAGTAAAACAATGTACTCTCCAGTGGTTTACTTGCTAATAGTAGAAGCACAATTTGAAAATGTTTATAAGCATAGCAATCTTTAATAACAACTTTCTGTTGTTTTTCCTTTCCCCACTGCTTCCCTCAGATGCCTTTATCCTTGCTTTTAACTGCAAAATCAGCTGTAAACAAATACCTTGGTAGGGGATGTTCCTTTGCCAACTACAGTGTTCACAACTTATTAGAGCAACAATGTGTGTGTTTAGCGTTCCCAGCTAAAATTAATCAGCCTTGTAGGGGAAAAAAGTTCAGTGTTGGATATCATAGTCTAATGAAAGAGGACCGGTGTGATCCTAGCAACCTCCTAAAATGTAACTTATTTCTCACTGTTCAAACTAGATTGTGTGCAGCATTATTCAGAATACAATGTCCCGGCTGGGTCTATTGTAAGGAGATATAGACTGTTACTTTTTAGACAAAATAGTGCTGTTTTGGGTTCCTTTTTTGTTCCTAGGTTTCTGGTATTCCTGGTATTCCATCTGAATTAGCTTCAAAATCATCCCTGAAACAAAATTTAAGGATCATCTGATTTCAAAAGTGAAACTAAATCTAGATTCACCCACTCCTGCAACAGGATGATAGTGGGAACAAATCAAACACAGGGCTCGACGGAAGTGCTGGTAGCATGAAGTCTGTCTGGGTATCAGTTCAGGCAAGGACGCTACTATTCTTTTCAAGCAGTTGCATCTGTAAATACTAGCAGGAAGGTATTTCAGCATATATTTAAAGCCATGTGAGCAGTCTTAGTTCTTCAAAAATTGTATTTTTGTGCCTGGGTAAAGTCAGCGTCTGCCAGGCTTCATAATCAACTCCATAGCGCACGTCTGAGCCCCACCACTGCCAGCTTACCTCTCTCCTTTCACACCTGCCTCTATGTCATAGCAGTGCAGAAACGAGACTGAAAAGCCCAGATGCTGATAAAGGCTGACCATCAAAACGATACTGTATCACAAGGCCACGGGGAGGTGAGGAAGAGTTAATCATTCTGGAAATGTAATCCAATTTATGGGTGAGGAAAGCACTTTCCTGCTCCTCTTCTCCCTTCACAGAGGGCTACTTGTTAGTTCAGTGGCAAGAGAGGCACCGTGAGAGGCCACCACTTCCAGGCCCCGTTATTGGTCTTTAGCGCCAGACCTCTCTATACCGTCCGTATCGAAAGCCTGCAGGGCTTCCATTTCAGTCGCGGTATTCACAACGGTGCCCACCGCGGCCGTTTAAACCCGGCGCCAGCAACGCCCGCGGAAAACCCGCCGGCCAACGGCCCGCG